CCTGGGCTACATACTGAGTTTAAGGCCAGCCTGAACTGCCTAGTGAGATCCTATTTCAAAAATAAAAAAATAATAAAATAAAAAACATGATAAGGAATTATATTTTCATTCTATGGAGTCATCATCAAATTTAGAATAATTTTTATTCATTTAATTATCTAGTTTGCCAGTTCTTGATGAAATTATCTCCATAAATGGAAGAAAAGTTGATACATTTGTCTAAATTTTTCTAATGATTAGGTAGTTCACTAGCTCAGTTTGCCTGATTGGTTTTGGATTAAAATGTATAACATTTCATAAAGACCAGATAAACTTGTAAAACTGTCACTGCTAAATCATTCAGGGGTTCTTTATCCAGAGAAGGTCTGGTTGCTACCCGTGCTCTCTTTGGAAGCCCAATCACCATGCAATGAGGAAGACTATGAGGATCCATGGAGCAAAGTACATGGAGATGAAGGTCCCTGGGTCTCCTGCTGAACTCAGGACCGACAGCCGGCACAGCTTGCCAGGCTCAGGCAAGAATCTTTTGGGAAGTGTTTACTCCAGTGCTAAGTTAAGAGGCCAAATTTCCTGTTAGCCTCGTCCAAATTCCAGATTCAGGCTAAATAAGCGATTGCTGTCATTTTAAGCTAAGAAGTTTTAGAGTGTTTTGTTACTAACTGGAATACCTTGCACAAAAAGATTTATGATATTTATGTCTTTATGTTTTAATCCCTTTCATTTATTAGACACAGGGTTTGAGACACTTCAACTAGTCAGATTTCAGGAACTCAATTCTTAAATCCAGAAGAATACATTTTCATCTTTGTAGAGAATTTCAAAGGGAGACTATAATTCAAAATTTAGTTCCTTTACATGTAAAATTTTCTGAAACATTGATTTTTAAAACAATGTATTTCTATTTCTAAAGAAAGTTCAACAGAAAACATTAATAAGCCATACTTTCCTGTTGTTTTTTTTTTGCAAAATCTATAACATACATAGTCAACTTTTACAAAAGATCCACTCTTGTCCTAGAGCAGCCACTAATGTAGATGTGAGGGTCATTGAATTTGGTACTAATTCAATATTAGGCTTCCTTCTCTAGTTCACTAATCAAAAGTTATAAAAATAGCTTTTAATGAGCCCCCTCCCTCTCTCTCTTTAATTGGCTGTCAAGACAAAGCAGAGGTAGCAACCAATCAGTTCTTCATATTAAATACAGTATTTTCCTGAGCTGGACTTGACTCCTGGTTGCTACAAAACAAATCTAAGTTTATATCAGAGGTGACAAACTCTGTGCCCTGTCATTTATCCTTTTTATAGCATAGATGACACCAACAGTCAGCAAATCTTATTGATGACTTGATGAATCAACTACAACAGAAAGCCACTAAGTCTAGAGGTTTTCAGTGTCAACAGTTTGCAATTTAAAACAAACAATTAAGAGATAACCAAATTAAAGACACATTCTATGCTTTTTACTATATGATTTCTATTTTGTGATTAATTTAAAATTTTAGAAAATCCTCAAAATTTCAGTAAGAAAAGGGATAACCATTGTTAATATTGAACTATGCATTACAGTAGGCATATATCACAAAATATGTTGTACTTTAAACCTACTTTTAGAAATTCAATGATTGCCAAAGAACACCATGTTGAAGTTTTACTATGTATCATGGACAATACTATTTCATTTAAAGCACAATAACACTAGGAGGTAAATACTATCAATCTAATTTTACAGCTGAGAAACTGGAAATTAAGTTCCAAGAACACATAGACACAAAATAGAAATGTTTGACTTTAAATCAGATCTGTCACCTCCAGATTTCAAATTTTTTATATCCTATGTGTTGTTATACATTTGAAAATTTTCAACTAAAATCATTACCATTATTCATGATAATAGTCACCTATTCACTTATACCCGTGGCTTAATATCATAGTAGTATACCATTTTCTAGATTTATAAATTATTTCACCATTCTTCTCTTAGACATTTTAACTTGGTTTTCTTTCCTGTGACTCTTCCACTAGTATAAAAAAACGCTGCAAGGACTATCCTTATAGTTAAATCTTGGTGTTCAACCTTCATTATTTCCTAAGGTGAAATTTTTAGTTGAGTCACTTGGATAACAGCAAAAAACAAAATTATCCTTTCAATGACAGTGTCAAATTTCTCTTTATAACAATTGTTTCAAATTGCATACTTTCTGTTTATATGTGCTTATGTTTGAGTCCTTAAATCTCATTTTAAAAATGCAAAAACTACAATAAAATTCAAACCATACCCTTTCCAATCATGATATCATAAATATTGGAAGTAGAAGGTATCTTAGTAATCATTCAGTCTAATACCCTATATTGCAGTGCTTTTTATACTGCATCCCTGACCTGGGGTGTCCATCCTGTAATTTACAGGAGTTACCACATAAAGAAAGATGGTTTAAAATGTCTCTAAACTACCAAGCACATTTCTTCACCCTTCGGCAGTGAAGCACTGTTTAACCTATTCTAAAATGCATCCAGAATAAAAGAGCCTCATTGGAAATGAGACACTCGGCAGGATTTCAACACACTTGACACAGGTCACAAAATGATAAAGATTTTTTGGTCGTTCTCCATTGGAATGGGTTTGCTCTAGGTGCGGGCAGCTGACTGTATGACTCTTGCTCTCTGCAGCTATTCAACAGCTTGGGCTTCTTTTGCCTTTGGAAATTCAGCAAATAGAAGTGAGGTGGTCAGTAGGAGATTAACTAGAACCAAAAGCTTATGAAATAGTTTCACATTTCCAGCAAAGGAGCTGAGAATGTGACTATATCTGTCTCTCCTTCTTCAGAAACACTGAAGATTTCATTACACCAGTCCCTTTAATTCTAGGGGCACTGAGATTTGGTTGTTCTTGAAGGAAAAAATGACCTTCAACTAGGTAAGCCTTGGTTGAGTACTCATTAAATACAAAACATTGTCGCATGTTGCAGTCTGAAGGGGAAAAATAATACTCCTGGGTGACTGAGGTGATAGAAACCTATAAATATGTAAGTTCTGCAAGCAATTAGCAAATAAAACTGACAGTAAGGAGGAGGAATTCTGCTTGAAGAGGGGCGGGGGAACAGAAAGTAGAAAAGGGCTTTAGGGAGAGTGTGTTGAGTCTGTGGAGGCAGGTTCCTCGGTCCCAAATTGGTGTCTGGCAAAGATCTGATAAATAATTAAAATTGTGAAATAAGAACATCATCAAAACCAGTAATTTCCCTTATTTTTCACACACACGCCTTCTTGCTTTCTTAAGGGACATATACACTCCATTTCAAAGCCATCCCTAGAAGGCAAGGGAAAATTGAATCCTAACAACTGTTTTGGGAAGCTAAATCGGTTGAGGACTGGATTTAGGAGCAACAACTCAGCACCTTAATTTTGAGCTTCAGGAACTGAATGGAAACTCATCCTGTGATCTAACAGGGGAGCCTTGGGTGTGTATGCATATGTGTATGTGGGGCAGGACCCTACCTCATCCAGCCTCCCCACCAAAAGCCTACTACAGTGCTTGGCAACCAGTAGGCAATAATCTGTCGAATTGATTATGCACATCTGCTTTTTCCCTATTGAGGCAACTGACCCATCATCACATTTTGTTTCTTCTATCAGCTTAATTCAGCGTTGGTCTTAGTAGTCAAAAACCAGGAGACAATCTGGAGGTGGTGGCGCATGCTAGTAATGCCAGCACTAGGGAGGCTAGGGCAAAAGGATCACCATGAGTTCGAGGCCAGCCTGGGCTACACAGTGAGGTCAAGCCTACCCTGGATTCCATAGCGAGTCTCTCCTCTCTCTCTCCCTCTGAGACTGAATGGAGCCATAGCATCCTGCAAGTATAGCTGTGCAAAGGGATGCAAGGAGAGAAGGCGAGAGCAGGGCAAAGAGCTAATCTTCCTACTTAGGCTCCAGTCCTCCAGCAGCTAACGCTCAACTCCACCCCTTCTCTCTATTCAGGACCCCCTACTAGAAGGCGAGAGCCGCGCTCGCTAGGCGTTAGCAGAGCTCTGACAGTCACGTTCCTTCCTTGCAGCTTTTCTAGTTCCCAGCAGCCTCACCCCTCCTCCCTCCTCCCCAGCCCAGATTCCGAGGCGATTCCCCTCTAGTGACCGACTCGACTGCATTTGGGCGAGTGGCTTTTTGCCTCCCTCGCGTCTTTGTCTCCTCCTCCTCCTGCCGGCCTGCAAGCCCAGCACAGGGTCTGCAGCAGCCGCCGCAGCAGTGAGAGCCAAGCGGTGCCCCACACAGCCGCCCAGGGCCGCACCCTCGCTCCGTGGTGGCGGCGCCCAAAGACGCCAGTCGCGCCACGCACCGCCTGCGTCCCGCTCCCTAACGCCGCCGCCGCGGCGGTCGCCCTCGAGCCGAGCTCGGAGGGCCGGAGCGGTCAGGGGCGGGCAGCCCAGCCTGCAGCCGGTTGAAGGTGGCCACCGCTGCAGCCCTGGCAAGGTGCACACTTCTAGGCGTACACGCATCAAACGCGTCCTCCCTGCGCCACGAGGATGGAGCAGCCATCCCTACCCAGGACTGGCGCAAGGTAAGGTGCAGCCGCCTGTTGCTTTTCGCAGAGCGCGGGATCCTCTGGGCTGGGGTGCTTAAGCCGTCCCTCTGGGAACAAGTAGAGAACTACACCCTAGTTCCGAGCTATGTCTGCCCAAACCTCTGGAGCCCCTGGCACTGGCCCTTGGAGAGACTCCGCCTGGTGAGGGGGAGTCGAAGCTCTTTGCTCCCTCCTGCTTAGCCGGGTGCCCTGCAATAGTCTGCAAACTTTTGTGACCACCTGCCCTCCCCGCGCAGTCTCACCCTGTGCCGTGCGAGTAGCACGTTTGGTTCTGGCGTGCGCCCTTCCCCCAGCTCCCCTTGCCATAGACATCTGCCCATTTCTTTCTGCACGTTCTTGCTGGCCGACTTTTCGCTCCCCGCGGCTCCCTCTCCAGAGGCGAGGGTTTGGGACCCAGCAGTGCTCAGCCTGACGGGGAAGCTGGGTAGAAGCAGAGACGGTGACAGCAGAGGTGGGACGTGGGGGAAAGCTGCGGCCGTCCCAAGGCTCCATCGAGAGTGAGAGTGGTGGGGGTCAGTGCACCCTGCGCCTGCCACCCTCAACTGGGCACCAAAACCTTGGAGCGGCGCTCGGCTGTGCGCCTGGAGAACTGCAAGTGCAGATCTGGGTGGGTGAAGTAAGTGGTTGGGGAGGGCATGACTGCTGGTGGGGGTGCGTGAGGGAGGAAGAGCTGAGGGGAGAAGGCAGATTTGCCCGCCGACGAGGGGGATGCAAAGACTACAAATGTAAGCGAGGGGCCAGCCCTGAGCGGTCATCTGAGGAGGAAAAGAGATTGGAGTCGGGAGGGCGCTGGCCGGGTGTGTAAATAGATACCGGGGGAGGGGCTGGACACCGGGGGAGGCGCAGAGGTGGAACGGAGCCGGAATTTTCGGGGCCCTGGGGAATCTGGGGAGGCAGGCTGCTGGGGGCCTGGGGTGGAGTGATCTCCCTCCTCAGGAACAAACAGACCTCCTTGCTATAATCTAAATGCGTTGGCATCTTGGGCGGTGACTGAATGGTCAGGTCATGGACTAGAAATGCTTTTCCTGGCTCTGAGCTGTCGGTGTCCTCTGTTTTTTCCTTCTCCTGCGCTCGCCTAATTCTACAAGCTTTCAGCTCAGCAACTGGGTCGGTAGACCCACGCCCACCTTCCCTGCCAACACCTGGGTGTCTAGGATGTCTCCAAAGCCCCACAGTCAGGGTAAGGAGGGGAATCCTGGCCGGTAGGGGGAGACCAGTGTGAAGGGAGGGCTGGGGGAAGTCCCAGGCCACAGCAAGTAGGCAAGGGTCCCAACCAGTTGGAGGACAGCGCAGCGGCAGAGGCTGCAGTGGGAGCCACCTTCTCCTCATAGCTCCAAGAATCGCACCTGGGCAGAGCAAGGGAGAGGGGGAGCCCGTGCTGAGCGGGGAGGATCCGGAGCTGGAGTTGGAGGGCACGCGATGAAACCCGGAAGAGGAGGGTGTGGACATGAGATGAGTTGAACCAGCTCCCAGACCTAGGGCTCCGAGAAAGCTGGGTTCACCCGCCTGATAGACTCCAGGTGGATCCCTTCGGCTGCTTCAGATGCTTTGGCAGATTCAGGAAGAAGACAATGATCGTTCCTTCTAGGCATCCCAGCCATCCAGAATGCAAGACCGTTTGCTGGAGAAAGCCTCGTCTGATCTTGCATAGAAAGGGCGGCCTCCCCTTCTTTAGCTCCCACACCCCTCTTTTCTTCTATGGAACACATTCGCATATCATGGCCTGGAAGCACCTAACCGAACACTTCTCTAGGAGAAGGTGCCAGCTCCTTTCCAAGTAGCATCTGTGGCTGAGGCAGGTTCCTGGTTCCTCCTGGCTCCACAGGGAACGTATTTGAGAGTTGTGTGCCCCTCTGGGGCTACACACATCAGGTCTTCCCTGTCCAGATCTCTCAGGGGCAGGCTTCTAGGAACACAGACTTCTCTACCTCACCCTGTAGATGCCTCCTGCTGTTTTTTACCAGCTGGGAGAAAGCAGAATTCAGTCTTTTCTGGGCCCTTGGTCAGATTTTTCCAGAGGAGATATCAACTCATCAGGGCTCCCAGGAGAAATCCCGATGTGGGTCCTCCCATTCAAGGGCAGCCCTGGCATCTCTGAAGCAGGGAGCTCCCTGACAGGCAGAGACAAGCTCCAGAACCCCAAAGGGCCCCAGTGGGGGTCCCTGCTGCTCAGGTTCCCAGTGCAGTTTCTGAGCACAAAAGCCGCACTCTCACAGGCCAGGCCTGGCTGGTGAGAGATCTCTGGCTTTTGAAATACCTGGATATGTGCGGTAGGATCCCAGATGTAAGCCTCTCATCCCACATGATTTAGTTTGTGACACCCCAAGGCATGGTTTTTTTTGGAGTGCTTTTCATCTGAATTTGTGCTCTGACCCTCTGACCCCTTTCCTTTTCATGTAGAAACAGATTAGAGCATATCCCTTGGGAACTTGAGGGAAGGCTCCAAATCCACAGTGAGTTTTCTTTTGTTTTGTTTTGTTTTTCAGATTGCTAAACTATTCTGGGGAGACTAACAGTAATAATGATCAGAACTACTTAGCATTTATTGAGTTTGTACTATGTGCCAGGCACTATGGTAGATATCTTACGAGCTTGTTAGTTTTAACTCACACAGACAACCATAAAAGATGGATAAAGCTATTGTTAACCTTTTTATAGATGGGTAAACTAAGCGATGGAGAAATTAAATTATTTGCACATTGTCATCCAGCCAATAAATGGTGGAGCTGGTTCACCAGTGAGCAGAGAACACTGGGTATTTCCCGTACTCCCAGCTCTATTTGGTACTGAAGATTCTTTGTCTACAAAGAAGTATGGATGAGGCCCCTTACTTCCTCCAAATCCCAGGAGCATGCTATAAATGCCAGAGTGGCTGGAGTATGGTGAGACTAGTGTTGCACTTTGCTGCCTCAGTCGGTTGGGGTAGACCTTAGTAGCATGGGTTGCTAGTACTGGAAGATGATCTAGGGAGTTGGTTACTGGTGTTGGAGTTTTCTTCTGGGTCTTTTAGCAGACATTTCCTTCGTAAATAGAAGAAATCAGAACAGAGATTTGCTTTATGGTAAACAAACAAAAGGGCAATTTTAGGTAACAACTGTATTTTGCAAATGAGTGCCTTTCTGGGATTTGAGTCACAGAATGTTGGAGTTAGAGATCTCAGGTATTATCTCTCCCGGTCCAGGTTCCGGAGAAGATTAAGTGCTGAACTGGCAGGCCCCTTAGTGTATTTGTAGCATAACTAATGTAAACTCACTGCCTTTTGACTCTTTGTCAAAGAAACCTTGTTAACACATGAATAGATTGTGTCTACTGCTGCTGTTTTTTCAACATCTTAAGATTAATTAGGGAAAATACTTATTTAAAAAATATTGCTTTGCTTATTTTTCCATTAATGCTTCTCAAACAGCATAATAAAAGTCAGTATCATATAATGGCCTCTTTTGCCAATATGTGCCTCTTTTGCCACAAAAAGAAAGAAAAAGAAAAAAAACCTAGTAGAATATTTGTATATTCAAATCAACAAAAACTAACTAAAATATAGCCCTTTAATGATTCTAAATAAAAGTAAATGATTCCCAACCATTTTAACAAAGTGATTCTATCAGGTTGAGTAGCTCTGTCCTGCCCTATCCTCAGGTATTTGTGAAAAACAAAAACATATACTATAGCACAGGGAAAATCCTTTTGATGTAATGAAATGGATTGATTTAATTTCTCCTGGATTTCTGACCCTTGAGTTAAACTTCTATGGTGTGATTCTGAAGTAAAACAATATATTCCTAGTGGTTGTACCTGACACTCAGAAAGTAGAATAATATTTCTTTGCTACTTCCTCCTCCATTGAGCCCCCTCCACAGAGGGATTCCATATACTCCAGGCATTTCTGTGGGGCAGAGTTCTGGTTTCTAGGAACACCTTATGTCTTCTCTCTGAGGCCAGCATGCCAGCACATCTTCCCCTTGGAAACAAAGCAAGAAAAATGCAACTGCAGGAAGCAAGGCCAAGAGTGAGAAAAGTCTATTTCTCAGAATCATTGCGGGAGCAAGAGTTAGAGTCAGACAGTGGAAATCTGGTGGGTTTTATGTCATCTGGAATAGGATTTCCATCTCTAGTGCTGCTCCCTATCAAGACAGCAGTGGTTGGGGAGATGGAAGGACAGGAAGGGAAGACAAGAGGGAGGGAAGTGGCTTTACAGATGAGGCTGGCTGATAAGGGATGCTGGGGTGACAGAAATGCCCAACACAGGGGAGCTGTGCCAGGAGCTGCCTACCATCTGTGTCAAGCTGACTTATCTGAATCCCAGGGTGCCAAGTTTCTCAAGGGGAAGTATTCACTTTCTAGAGGATTCATTATACATATATCTTCTTTTTATGTGAGTAGGAGAAAAATGCACACCTGCTGGACTCTTGAGGGAGAACCATTAAAAGTCAGATCATTCCCAAAGGGTAACCTGCTGGAGGTGGGAACACTGCTTTAGTTGGATTATAGCAGAAATAAAAAAGTAACTTTGAAATCTAGTATGACAAAATCCAAAGAAGTGGTCTCTGTTCTAGGAAAAGCAGGAAGTAAAATCCATTTGAACCTGGGGGAACATCCTGGCTTCCAATTCCTAGATTTTTTCCAGGAGGACCAAGGGAGGTACCTCTGTCCTCATTTAATTCCCATGGTGCAAATACCGACTTGGCATTTTACTGTGGCTCCTATGGTGTAGTATTGAAAGGCCCACACAGCACTCCTGGTGGCACAGGTCTCTGAACCGGTATTTCTTTTAAATCATATAAACATGAGTTTGCTGACATTTAAAGTAACAATTACTATTAAACAACATTACCTGAGACAAATGATGGAAAAATGAAAAAGTTTTCTTCAGAACACATTGAATAAGTTTGTTTATGTAATACATGGTATAATTTACAGTCTTTACGTTTTATTGGATATTTCATAAAAAAAATTAGTCAAAATCTGGAACACTGACCTAAACTAATTTTAGTAACAAAAGAAACTAAATAATAAGTTTCTGTGGAGTTTGAAGAAAATGTTGAAAATTTTAAAAAGACCAAAGTAGAACTTAAAAGCTTTACCTTTATGGGATTTATTAAATAAATGTATAATATCTTAATCCATATTTAGATTTGAATAATCAATAAGACTGAACATTCGTTATATCTTCAGATTATGACTTTGATGAGGTTTGTTTGACAAATGATTTGGTACCAGAACAGAGCTCTTACATCTGAGATAATAGCCCGTATTTACATCTACTTTATAAAAACAGTGAATTAATATATCTCCACACAGTATATGGAATGGTCACTTCGTATTAGAATAAAATCTAGACTAGAATCTAGAGTCTTTTCATGAACTAATAGATGTGGAACACAGTAATAGCAGCATACAATTCTTTAAAAATGAATGAATAAATACTCCAAAAATAACCACCCCCAAGAAAAACATTTTATTCTTTAAGAGGATAAATGAATGGATTAGGAAAGGTTATGAAATTTACGATTTCATTTTTTCCTAATCTCTCTAAGCTACATTTTATGTTACTATTTGGCTGGTGCAAATGTCACTACAGTTAATAAAAATGCTTTGGTGCCTTTCACT